AGACACACACACACTCCTAATTTTCTATCCCTGGAGACAATATTTTAGCTGTTTATTCTTACTGCTATTTCTTGATTTTTCAGTTGGGATATTGTCTACTGACATCCCACTGTGAGGACTCAGGTTTAGCTCTTACACAGCCTCCTTTCCCCATCCCCCCTCCTGCTCAGTAGAATCATATTGAAGCTTTTCCTTAATGTCTTTTCCAGCTTTACTGAGATATAATTGACCTGCAACATTGTTTAAGTTTAACCTATATAGTGTGTTCATTTGATACATTTACATGTTGCACAGTGACGACCACTATAGTATAGCTAACACCTGTCACATAATTACCATTTCTTCTTTGTGGTGAGACCATTTAAGATCTACTCTCTTAGCCACTTTCAAGCATATAATACAGTCTTATTAACTCTAATCACAGGGCTGTATGTTACATCCCTATAACTTATTCACCTTGTAACTGGAAGTTTGTACCCTTTGACCAACATCTCCCCATCTCTTTCCCCCAGCCCAGCCCCTGGCATCCTAGTCGTTTCTATGAGTTCGGCTCTTTTTAGATTCCACAGATAGGTGAGGTCATACAGGTGTGTCTTTCTCTGTCTGACATCTCATGTAGCATAATGCCCTCAAGGTCTATCCATGTTGTCACAAGTGGCAGGATTGCCTTCTTTCTCCTGGCTGAATAATATTCCATTGTGTGTGTATCTAATATCTCACATCTTCCTTCTCCATTCACACACTGACAGGCACTTAGGTTATTTCCATATCTTGGCTACTGTGAGTAATGTTGCAATGAAATAGGAGTACATATACCTCCTACAGATCCTGTGTTTATTTCCTTTGGACAAAGATCCAGAAGTGGGATTGCTGGTTCATAGGGCAGCTCTATTTTATTATTTATTTTTGCAACTCTATTTTTAATTTTTTGAGAATCCTCAGAGCCTGGGCTGCAGCCCCTTTTGTGTCCTACGAGTGCGGAGTGCGGGGCTCCAGCAGCAGCCCTGTATGAAGAAGCCTCAGCTGCTCCTCACAAACAAGAGTAACTGCTCAGGGCAGGAGTCACCCTGACCCACTTCCTTACCCCCAGGAACACCCTGTTTATCTGCTCATTTGGTCTCAGAGATTAGAGGAGGGTCGGCCCAAAGGGGACAGAACTTCCTGCTCTGAGTCCCAGTCTGTCGGTGTCCTGGCCTGTTCCTCTTGCCCAAGGCTTTACTGTTGCCCGACATGGAGTCACACACGGTGGTGTGTGGGAGTGTGCGCCTTCAAACATCCTATGAGGTGATGGGGCATAAACACTTAAGTATCACAGGGAACAGAGGCAAGTAACTCACTCACTAGTACATATATGAACATGAATGACATGCTATAGTTGCCTGAAGTTCCCTGAGAATTTAAAGTGGTTTTCCAAGTGCACACCCTCCTCTCTGCATAAAGGATGTCAGGTTCGCAGAAGTGACTGCAGTGCAGACTAGTCCTTGCCTGCAGGGTGAAGTTGGTGACAAAGGACACGGGTGACCCTTCCTCTCAGGCACTGCTCCCTCCTAAGCGGCATGATTATCTCCCCGTGTGGCTTCCTCCTGAATTTTCTATCTTAAAGAGCATGGAACTGTGACAGATGTATGAGATACTATTTCTTTTCACCACCAAATAACTGTCCAGACAGATTTTCAGCTTCATTGAGCTCCCACCAACCCCTTTGCAGGGGTCACATCAAAACCCCAGAATTCCTTTTGAGAGGCAGAACATGACACACACGAACAAACCCAGAGGAGCACAGGCTGGACCTACCTGTTGAAGTAACAGGTGGCCACCGCCCCTGCCACAGTCATGTGTTGGCACGCGAGGATGAATTCGCTGGTCCAGATGAGGCCCACTATGTGGTAGCCCCACATGTACCGAATGCCCAAGAGAGGCTCATACTCCACCTGGCCACCTTTGCCGACCTGGGCTGCTCCTGAGGTTTCAAACACAAACGTGTTACACCAATGCTTTCAACAGGCCCACTTCCTCACCCCTGGCCTGTGGCATTGAACAGATGCCCTCGTAAAGTGTGAGGCGCCTCCCCCAATTTAAGATCTCACAGCAAAAACTACACATTCTGAGCACATTTAGCTTACAAACACTATAAACAACATTTACGGTATGGAGTAGTAGGCAACGTGCGGGACGTGGGACATATGCCTTCACATTCATCCCACTTTGTGGATGAGAAAACTGAAGTCTGGAAGAGTCACGATACTTTTGTAACATCTCACCGCTCGTGATAAGCGGAAGGAGAATAGAAAGCCAGAGCCGCGGTCTTTCCACCACACCTTCGTGATGCAAACAAAACCTCCGTGGCTGAAGCCACCCAAAGCTGTTAGGACCACGTGACAGAACCCACGTAACAAAAAACTTAGCCTTTATCAAAGAAACAAGGATCTTATTTTTTCTCTGAGGGATTCATTCCAGATTTCATTTTGAGAACAAGTCTTCCAGCATATTTTAAATGTCTGTTGGGCCTCAGTGCTCACCTTTGAGGTTTCCCCACCCTGGGGAGCCTGGGTCAAGCTATTTGGCCTGTTAGCATTTTAGTGCTTTTATATACAACACCCCTTTCCTGGCGGTAGTCTGAGTGGACGGCCTGGTAAGTGGTTAATATCGGGCCTGGTCCATAGAAATGTCCCTCCAGAGTGACAATGACCACCATCACTATATTTCAGGAATATAATACCGTATCACACCGAGGGCTGCAGGGTAACCCCAACGACACCTGCCATTCGTGGGCTATACCCTGCTTGGTTTGCTCCCATCTAAAAAGCCCTGGAATTGGCTCCACAGTTTGATTCCATTTTATTTGCATTGGTTAGACCCAAAGCCCAGCTCTGCAGGTTGTTCCTGTGCTTCTAGAAATAAACTGTGAGAAGGTGGGCGCTCTGGCCCTCGGTGAAACCTGAGCAACATGTAAAGACAGCTCCGTATTTCCTTTCGTAGCTGGACATGGCCTTCAGGTTCATAATTCAGGGCCTTTGACATTCACAACAGGGTCTGTGGGAAGGAAGCGGAGACACCGAGCCTGCCACAGAGCAGGCAGACACCGGACGACGGCTGATCCGTCCCCTCCACTCTGGGTTCCACCTGACAAGAGTCAATTGTGAGAGAGCTCGGGCAGCCTGGCCTGCAGAGGGAGGGACGTTGATATTGATCACTGGGCTCTTTCTGGTGTGGACAGTCTCTGCTTCAGGTAAGGCGCCGACGAACTCGGATGCTTTTCCTGAACAGCTGTGTGTTGGAAGAGCATCCGGTTCCACAGGATGTGAACTGACAGACAGGGCTGGGGGCCGGGTCAGGGGAGCCTCAGAGAACCACTCCAGGAACATCAGAAGTGACAGCAACCAAGCAGCACACTGGTCCTGGGATGGGCCGCCATGGTGCAGAAACAGGACACGGTGCATGGTTTGGGGTGGAGAACAGGAGGGAGAAAGGGTGGGTACAAAGGCCCTGATGCTGACGGGGGCCTCTCCTTGTAGCTGCCCTGTGTTGCCCACGGCACAGTCACAAGTGCCCCAGCTAAGCAGGTGGCAGCAGCTAACACGACAAGTCAAGGCCTTTAGACCCTGGGCACCCCCACGTTCCTCTGGACGGCTGCCCGTTTTTGAACATCGAATGGAAGCTGCCTTCTACTTTTTCTGCTCCGGTTACACCGGCAGTTTACAGCCTTTCCTTTGGGTGGGCTTCCTTAGCTCTCCACGTACTAACTAGCATTTTAGACCACACAGTTCTTTGTTGGATTTGGGGGTAGGCCTGTGCATTGTGGGGTGTTCAGCAGCATCCGTGGCCTCTACCCATTTGATGCCAGGGGCATCTTCCTGCTCCTCCAGTCATGCCAACCCCAAATGTCTACAGACTGCCAAACGCCACCTGGGGGACAAAATCACTGCCTGAGAACCACTGGTATGAGCAAACCTCTGCAGGGAGGCGCTCAGGCTTCACTCCAGTGAAAGCCTAGGAAGTCCCTGGGTGGGGCGGGTGTTCATGCGCACATGACTGCCCTCTCCTGGTCGGCCATGTCCCTGCAGTCAGGAGCCCCAGCAAGGAGCAGTTACTTTGTTACTAAGCTTGTTACAATATAGCTACCAGGAAGTGTAGCAAAGTTAATGGGACCAAATTCCCGGATGCAATAGGCCTCAGGGATGGTAGTGGAAAGGGCACTGAACTAAGAAAGGACTTGGCTCCAGTCTCACTTTTGACATACATCAGAAGCCACCTCAGTTCTCTTAGCACAAAGATGAAGAGGGTAGACAGACAGCAAAAACCTGGGGCAGTGGCCACAGGCTTGGCCTTGAGAGTCACACAGCTGAGAGTCACACCTTTGCGCTGACCCAATGGCTGACCAATCTCAAGTGGGTTATGGGGCCTTTTCACATCTGTTTCATCCCGTCAGACCCGCTTCTCACTCCCTTGGTGCTCCAACCCTGGCTCATGGCTCTAAATGCCATTCACACAGCTGTCACCAGGATTAAATGCGGAAGGCGCCTGGAATAGTAAGTACGGCACAGGGTTAGGTGTAACTGAGGGGCAGGTGGATAGGGTTCCAGCTCTGAAATTCACAACTGTTTATTAAGCATCTGCTGCACGTTGGAATCATGCTGAACGTCAGCTATTAGGGTGGGAATGAAAACGGCAAACAAAAGGCAGGAAGGAGATACCAACTGGGTGACTATCCGGCACTCACATGCCGCTAGTCTGGCCGCCTCCCCTTCTTCTGGGCTGTTTTCAGCTCCTCCTCTGACCTCACTCCCAGTCAGTGGGCTGCCTGGCTTTCTCCGAGAAAGCCCCTGCCAGTGCCTATGGCCTCCATCCACCTGCTATCTGCACGTCTGGAATCTGACCCCCTTAGTTATCAGCATGTCCTCAATTTGACCCCCTTCCTACGATAGCCTGTCCCTGACCCTAAGGCCACCCCCACATCCTTTCTCCCCAACTTGAAGGCATCTCTTCAGAACCCTCCCCCTCTCTTGCTCCACAACAATACCCCTCTCTACAGAATCATTCTTATTTATCTCCCATCTTTTTAAACATCTACCCAGGACCCCCTCTCCTCCTCCAGCTTCCCTGCCATTTCTCCTGTGAAACACAAAACCAGCCGCTCTTCAGGCCAAAAGAGGGAAAAGAACCTCCCGCTTCGCTTCCCCAGGAAAGAGCCCCAAGCCCCGTCTCTGATGTCATCAGACACTCACTGCTCAGCACGCTCGGCCCCCACACATCCGGCTGACGGTCCCGACATGGGGACAGCCCCACACCACGCCCTCACCTGCGGTGCCCAGGCTCAGGAGCACGGTCACCCAGAGCACCCAGAAGACAAGGAGGATGGTGACTGTCCACAGCGGCTGGGCCAGCAGGAAAGGGCAGCTGCTGATGGCCTTGTTTGTGACCCGCAGAAGCTCGACTGCCAATTTCACTCTCTTTCTCAGGATAAAAATTGAGATGAGCAGAACAGCCTGGCGAGAAAGGGGTTAAATTATTCAAAGTGATAAAAATGGAGAGGGCTTGACGCAAACCCTAACCTTTCACTGACATCTCAACAAACAGTCCTATTAAAGCAGCTACTCCTCACTTTCACTGTCATCGATAGATAAATTCTAAAGTGCAAACTCAGCACCTACTACATGCTGGTCCGTAGGCGAGGTCCTGCCGCTGTGACAGTGAACAGGACGCAATTCCTGCCCTAGGGGAGCTGGCAGGGAGCAAGAGACACTGAGAATAAGGTTGTGGGCTGGGGGACAGCCTTCCACCAGGGGCTCTGGGAAAGCACGAGGCCTGCAGGGGCCCGAATACGCAGGACGGAGGTGGCCTGACCACGCCCCTCTCCCTGCGGAAAACATCTCACCCACATCCTGGCCCAGCCACTGCCTCTCTCTGACCCTGGCCCCGGCCGGCTTCTAGGAGCCGACAGGCCTCAGTGTTTCTCAGTGTTCGAAGGTTCTGCTGTGTCCCTGTGTGATTCAGGTAAAAACAGAGCCACAGGTCCTCATTCACCACCAGCTACGGCTACACACGGGAGGTGAAGGACACACGTCCTCACTGTTTCAGCTAAAACCCAGTTATTTGGATTCAGAGCTCTGGCTGCTACGTGGCCACCCCCCGGATGCGCATCTCTCACCGTGAGAACTGTGGACACCACGGCGAAGCCCAGCAAGCACCTCATATTGTCCCTCTCTGTGTCCAGGGCTATGCTCAGATCGGCGGTGTAGTCGTAATACAGCCACCACAGGACACCACAGACGACTGGGAAACAGGACACCGGGCTCAGCACCTGACTCAGGTGACCACCCTCCACCTCCACCACGGAGCCCGGGATGGGACCACACACTGGTCTCAGCCACACAGCGGGTCCCAAATCCCTGGGCTTCCTGAAGGGGCTGGGCAGGGCCGGGGCCACCCAGACAGCGAGTGGACGCTTGTCTTTGGGAGACGCAGGTTGGGGCTGTGTGAGCAGTGGAGAAGCTGTGCCAACGGGGTGGAGAGGACCGGCTCGTCTCTGTCCCGTCTGTGCCTGTGTCTTCCACGTGCAACACTATGGGTCAGGTGAGAGGACTCCCTGCGACCCACTTAGCTCACAACATAGACTTAACTTGTACACCCAACGGGAAGGTCTTCAGTTAATGAAAAGGAGCCAGGTGGAGGTACTTACACAGCAACCCCACCACGACCAGTGCGGCCAGAGTGCGCACCAGGAGGCTGGAGACCAGCCGGAACGCAAGCATCGCGGCCAGAGACAGGGCTGGAAAGAAGCAAAACACAAAGTCCAGCGACCACCATGGGGTGAGGCGGGGCCGGCTCTGCCCGCAGGAGGAGGGGCAGCGGCTCCCGCAAGGTCAGTCTGCAGGGATTATTCCCAAACACCTCAGACTTTCTTTTCCTTTTAAGTCCAAATGAGTCATTTAACTTTTTTTTAAAATCACACTAAACTCTTTTGACTTCGTACTGAGCCTATGTAAAGCTCTCACTTTAAGTGTCTCAGATATTCTTATTAAATAGGAAACATAATGCCTTTTAAAATGAAAGATTTAAGATTCTGATGATAAGCTGTGTGTGTAAAACGTCTGCAGGACATTCTCCAGTATTTGGGGCTTTCAGCTTTTAGATGTATTCTACGTATTCCAGTGAGTTTACAGATACTATTTTACTTTTTTTCTAAAGAACTCAGGGAGACGTGTCAATGCTTCTGTGAGGAACACGGGTTGGGAGTCAGACAGGTCTGGGCCAGGTCTCAGCTCTGCCACCTCCTGTACTAAGCCCTGACCAGGTCACAGCCTCGGCTCCTCTCCCACCAGTGGCCACAGGGTTCTGATGAGATCTGAATGACTCATGCTCCACGCCTGGCACATCTGGGTCATAGAAGTCTGGAAGTTATGTAACGACGGCTAGTTAAGCATCTCCCAGCATCCAGGACTTAGTAACCTTCCAGGACTGAAATCATGGAAAACTCAATCTGTCAACAGAAACCAGGGGGTTGGGAGGCGGCCTGGGGAAGCGGGAGATGTTGGGCCGTTCCTACTGTTCACAGCAGAGGGTATGAACTGGTCACAGAGTTGGTCCATTTTCACAGGGCTCCTCACGCTGAAACTCCAAAATGGGAAGTCAAAGGGTTGAGAGGTGGGTCTAGAAAGGCCTGGAAGAGGCGTGTCCTGGCTCAGGCCTTGCCCTGCCTACAACCCAAAGCAGGGTTGTCCTTGCAGGAGTGGACACACCGGGCCCTTGCTGTCTCACTATTTAACCTGGAGGCACCGCCTCCCTTCCAGGCTCGCCCCACAGCTCTAGCTTGCTGACAGGGAGAAGGCATGCTGGCGGGAAGACATGTGTTTCTGGCCCCTTCTGACGGTAGTACTTTTCACAGGTAGTTCGTGAACTCCCTATCAATCTACTTTGCACCCCTGTCCTCATGCAGAGCTGAAGACCAGGCACTGGAACAAGGTCACGGGGTTAAGGTGCCCCCACCTAGTGAGGCCTCTGGGCAGAGAACCAGCGGGCCTTCCCCAGGAACTGTCCCCTCTCCCTCTTCACCCTGAAACATGGAAAATACCTATAAAGGAAATATACACAGTGAAGCTTTACATGTAAGTTAAGAGGCTGATTTTCATTGTGCAACATACATAATTACGAGAAACTCCAGCAATCCGTAAGTCATCACGAATAAAATTAAGTGAGCTCACCTAGTGCGAGGACACACAGGCCAAAGATCGTGTCTCTTCCCGACATTATCCCACTGAGAACTCGATGGAGGGTGTCAGCATCGTTTATCAGCACAGGTGCAAACAGGGAGTAGCACTCCGGCGTTTGGGGGATGCATCGGTTAAACAGAGGGAAAGACTTGCTAAATACAAAAGGTGGGAAAAATGGTAAAGGCGTTTAATCTTTAAAAAAATATGTTTAAAACTCTCAAAAACCAAGAAAGCATAAGATTAGCAGTAATAAAAAGAGGTCTAGCCCCCTGTATGCAGAGAGCCCCTCAGCAAGTCTGCCCAGCAACTCCTGTCGCCATGGTGACAGCTGACTGATGCCTCGGATGGGAAATGACCGTGGGGACCCCTGGAAACCAGGCACCTGGGAGATAATTTGGGGAGCAGCCTTGCTGACACTCATGCTTGGCCCTTCTTAGACACACACTACACCCCCAACACAGGAACCCCAATTCTTATGTTTAGGTCTAGGGTTCACCTCACGTTAATTTCTGTAACGTGAGATCGGAGACCTCATACAGAATGACCAGGAGTCACTTCCCCCAATGTCTTCCACTCTTTCCTGCACCATTTGTTCAAAAGACTTTTTTTCCTGTGAGATTGCCTTGGTACTTTCAGGAATATCACTGGCCGTGTGCACGTAGTTCCGTTTCGGGCTCTCTACCCTGACCCATGCATCCGTCTGTCTGTCCTTCCTGATTCCCACACCACTGTTCTCATCGCTCTGACTTCATACTAAGCCTTGAAGTCAGGTGGCGGGGCCCTTGAACTTTGTTCTTCTTCAAGCTTTTTGTGACCCTAGGTCTTTAGCTTGTCTGTTTTTTAGAACAAATGTGTCAATTTCTACAAAATTATATTGGGAGGATTGCATTGTATCGAAATATTTTAAATGTGTGGGGGACTCAAAACAGTATGACCCTGAACTGCAGCTTGTCGGTGACCTACTGCGGCTTCCCTCACAGCTCTTAAGAGTCTCACCTGGGCACTCAGACCTTCCTGACACTCAGCCACAGCTCCAGAAGGGCACTTGCACCTCACACGATTGGCCGGGGAGGAGGGAACAATTGGTCCAGTCAGAGAAAGGCATTCAAAACATGTGCCCTGGCCCTACAGCCCCACTTCTCAGGTGCTTGAGCTTCTGCCCCTGGCAGGGCTCTTCCACCATAAATACGACCATTCCCACCTCAGGACAAACACGCACTTGTGCGAGGAAAGGAAATGTAGCCCTCGGGGCTGCTTCTCTGTCCCTGACTCTGTCTGAGAAAGGCCAATGGGTCCCGGTTTGTCTTCAGGTGAAAAGTTAGCATTGGAAAGGCCTGATCTGGGGATGAAGGGACTAGTCTGGATGGTGACCCCTAGGTCACATGGTATGTCCCCCAACTCGGTGGGAGCCCAAGTTGGCCGTCTGCCGGGGAAAACGAGCCCGGTGGAGCCCTGCCTGCTCTAGCGACAGACACAAGCGTGGGCGCTGCCTGGGCCTGAGTGCCAGCGACTCCGCTTGCTGCCTGCACAGCCCTCGCTGTCTCTGCACCACTTTTCTCAGCTGAGAAACAGGAATGAAAACAACACCCACGGCACCGAGGTTGTGTGAGGTCCCAACAAATGAATCCACCTCAACAGCTTACAAAGTATCTGCCTGGCAAGTATCAAAAGCTCTATGTTACCATGGCCAGTATCAAGATAGAAGCCTCCCAGGGAGTTACAGTTGCCCTTCGCTCGCAGTAAGAATAAATCCAGCGGTGGTCAGGTTCCCACCTCCAACCCTCTGCACTCCTCCTGCAGGAACAGCTACAGAGAGTGTTCTTTTGAACACCCGTCTCTCCCCTCGGCCCCTCCCACAGTACCTAGAGCAGTGACAGACATGGCCCGGTACCCAGTCACCTTTGCTGACAGGTAAGGGGAAAGTACGGAAGCTCTTACCTTGGAGGGACTGGGAGCCTGGGGCACAGTGAGGCTGCGTTTGGATTCTGGGCATAGTCTGCAGAATTCAAGCTGTAAATGCACAGGAAGGACCCTGGAAGCAGAAGATACAGGGACGGTAGCACCTTCCCACCTGTGCCCATGTTCCCAGGGGAGCCAGCCAAGAAACCAGTCGTTTTACAGAACTGTGCGGAGACAGAACAAATCACTCACATCTAGAAAACAGGTCTGTGGGCTACCCAGAGACGGAGAACACACACCACTTGAAGACAAGTGAGGTCCCCCCTCTCTCTCTCTCTCTTTCTCTCTCTCTCTCAAGCCCCAAGTTCACAGCTAAAATGACAGTACTCTCATTACATGATTGGTGGTAAGCGATTTGAAGGCTATTTACTGGGCAGGCTGGGCATCTCCACAGGCAGATGAAACTGGCAGGGGGTGGCCTCCAGTTTCCTTTCTTTGGTTGTGTAATCCTTAGAGAATAAATCTGAAATGCATGCTAAGAGCGAGGTACTTCAGTTCCACAAACGTTTGGTACAACTTACAACTGTCTGACGTTCAGCAAAAGGAGCCACGGGCCCTGACATTTCAAGGAAAGAACGCACCCATCGGCAGTGCAACCTGGGGCCTGCAGGTGCTTCTCCTGGACTGTGTGTCCACGGAGCTCTCCAAGCCCTGTCCCACTGCCTCCGGCTGTCTACCCTACACTCTAGGGAAGGCCATTTCCCAGCAGGGAGCAGAGAACAGCTGGAGATTCAGATAGAACCAGACACACCCGAGTGGAACCGAACACACTCAAGAGATCAGGTCTGTGGCCTTTTCTATACAAGAGGCCCCCACAAGGACAGTTTCCACCTTCCCAGAGCAGTTGGTGTTGGGTAAGATGTCTCGTGCAGGTGTGTGCAGGTGACCCCGCCAAGGCTCCCGCCTCGGGCAGTGCCCACCCCTCGGTATCTACCGGTGCTGTTGGCAAAGCGCTGGACCTCTTCCAGGGAGGTGAGCTGCTCTTCGGGGCAGTGGGACACGCAGAGGGCGGGGGAGCCGAGCCGGCCATCCTCAGCCTCCAGGTGGCAGGAGTTCATGAAGAACACGTGTCTGGGAAACAAGGAGACAGGAGGGGACTGCCTGAGAGCAGGTCTTCCCATTGGGGCTCAGTGTGGGTCTTAACAAACATCCACATACTATCAAATGTGGGTAGAACCAAGCAAACTGTCAGTGAAAGGCCTCAGCAGGACTTGGTGTGCACATGCCCACGGGGGTCACCTAGTGTCAGCAGCTCCGAAACCACACTGTTCACTAACTTTCCGGTCCAGGTTTGTAGCGGAGGCTGAATCTGACTTAGGGCCACTGATGCTAAGCCGTGTCCTTGCTCTGCACACACCTCCCTCTTTATGAGATGGACTCAGAGTTTTGAATGGAAAACAGTCCCAGGCTCAAAATGACTAACTTAAACAGTTTGAAATGTAGCTCCTCTGTAGGTTGGAAACTTACTTTTTTAGGGTCATGTCCTGCCCCGAAAGAGGGGCCCCCTTCACTGGGGAGTTCTTCTTGCCACACACGTTGCCAAAGCTGTCATAGCCGAAGAGGAGCCTCCCTGCGGCCCCGGCTGCCACCGCATAGCCTGTGATGAACATCTGGAGAAACCCGGAGGGGGCATGTGAGAGCCTGGTCAAAGGGCTGAGGAGCAGTCCCCCCTCACCTGAATGTTGACATAAATGGAACCAGGTCGAAAACAAACAGCCCAGCATCACTGTGCTCCCCACTCCAGCAAAGGACAGTTAGGACCCTGTGCCTCTATCACCCAAGTTCACCAGGACACCTCGGGTTTTATCTAAGTATCCAGGGCTGTGCCACTTCTTTCCCCCAAAGGAGGCTCTCACTCCCCCAGCGCCTGCTCAGTATCACGGGAGATTCCAGGATGGGTGGTCACCTTCGCTGGAGGGCGGGTCGCACCGCCTTTACTTTCTGGGTATGACTGTGACTGCATGCCCACCGCTGGCATGCAGGCTGGCCCGGCCCAGCACACGCCCCTGCCCTTCCGACGTGGGGGTGCTGAGACCTGAGTGGGTCAGGACTTGGAGGAAGGGAGGGGGTCCCGTGCCTCTGCCCAGCTCAGCAGAGCTCTAACGATGAAGCTGTATTTTCCACTTATCCACATTCCTAAAGTTAATATCCCCCTTGGGGGGCTCATGGGGAAGATGGAAGGGGATTTGGGGGGGGCTTGGGTAATTTTGAGTCCCTGCCACATTGCTACTACTTTAAACCATCAAAACTTTGAATTTCAATCACAGCATTGCAATTCCACACGACAGGTGACTCAGTAGGTGTGTGTACCAGGTACGGTGGGGCCACCAAGGAGGTCAGTGTCCATGGTACTGGGGGGGTCGGAAAAAGGAGTCTTGAAAGATGAGTAGGAAAGGGCGAGGTGGGAGAGGGCAGTAGGGTAAGTAGAGGCAGAGGTGGCCCACACCTTGAGGCCGTCTGGGCTATGGGTCCTGTACAGACACAGACCAGGCTGGCGCTCTGTCCATCTGCAGGGGCCATCCCTGCTCATAGCCCTGGCCCCAAACCTCCTCTGTCTGGCCTCACCTGGGGCAGCACCACCAATAGTCACCCTGTCCACATGCCCTCAACGTCAGGATGTCACAAGGCCTGGAAGACTGCCCAGCAGAGGCAGAAAACACACTCCCTGTTCTGTTTCAAATGTCTGTGGTTTAAAAATGTCGCAGAAGCCCAGCCGGGCGTGGCTCAGTGGTTGAGCATTGACCTAGGATCCAGCGATTTGGGTTCAATTCCCAGTCAGGGCACATGCCCAGGTTGCAGGCTGCAGCCGATCAATGACTCTCTCATCATTGATGTTTCTATCTCTCTCTCTCCCTCTCCTTTCCTCTCTCTGAAATCAATAAAGATATAAAAAATATATATATCAAAAAATAAAAATGTCGCAGAAGATACGAAAAGCCAGTCAGCTAAGGAAGGGCTCTCATTATTCAGATCTAATCTAGTACAGAGAACACAGGCATGCGGAAGCCTGCAGACTCATTTTGCAAGTGACACATGATTTTAGAGCACTTCCCAGCTCTGTGCCACCTCTCGGATGGCTTGTCATTGTTCAGGCTGTGATGTCCCCAGGCAGCTGTTGGCAGTGATGCACTAGGTTTGAACTTCAGAGGAGCTAGGGAAGATCGTTAAAGAACATAAGAGCCCAAGGTCAAAGCTGCCAGGTGCAGGAAGGACAGAGGCTCCCTGCGTTTATACAATAGTGGACCCTGATGGAAACACCAGCCTCCTGTAGGAAGCCCGAGAGCCATGATATGGGCAACAAAGAATTTCAGTTATACCTTTAAGGCCGACTGGTCTGTCTGTGTGACACCAGCTGGGAAAGTCAACAATAAATGCTTTTCTAGAGAGAGAGGAATGGGGAAGAGAAACGTGGTATCTTAGAATCTATTCCAATTTAATTCTTCTCAGCAAAGGTGACTCCTCTCTGGTGGCTACAATTGGGCTTTATGAATTAATCATTATGAGGCACAAATGCCTGCCTGGACCTGGACTGGACACTGTCACGAGCATGGCCTTCAAGGAGGCCACGTGAGGCTTTTTCCACTGTTCCCCACGACTCCAATGTAAGTGGCAAAGCCTCAAGATTCAGCTTCCATGGGACACACCCAGGACTACAACAGCACAGCCCGCTGAGGTCTACCAGCAATCACACACCTGGAAGTCAGGAAAAAACTGAGGGAAAACCACCTACTAGCTAGAGGGTCTACAGCACAGGCCTGTCTCCCTAGGCTAAGAGTCATCTATTTCCAGGCTCACCTTGGTTTTTCCTGTTAGAGGAACAGCAACACTTGAGGGACATTTTAATTTGGGGGCTGAGATGGTAAAAGAACTTCCACGAAGTGAGCTCGGAAAAGAGACCACACATGGGCTATTAAGCAATCCCATTGCAAGGGGACCTCACGTCCTAAGGGACACAGCAGGGACCAGGCAGCCTGTCCAAGTGAGCAGGCCGGGCAGGCTGACCCACCTGGTCAGGACCCCCCAGGGTGGGTGCTCATGCTGGCCACTGGCAGGTGTCTCTCACTGCAGCACCAGCTTTCACCTGGGAGACGGCCTGCCCCGCCCAGTCCCCCCCCCATGCGATTTACATTTGGGGCAGTTATGGGGGGCCTGCCGGCTGGTCTCCCCTGCTGGGCAGCCGCACTTACCAAGCCCGTCCAGAAGAGAAAGAACAGGAGCAGCCAGGGCGTGTCTGTGCACTTCCTGTAAATCTGAGGCCTCCACTCTCTCTGCCCCGGGGCGCTCTCTGCAGAAACCTTCCAGAAAAAGGGAGAGTTGCAGAAAAGGGGTAAGTCACCGTGTGGGTCCCAAACCTGGAAAAGGAACCAAACTCACTCCCAGGCTGCTCCGAGTAACTTTCTTTGTTTGTTTTGTACCCTGGCTGTCTTTCCTGGAGCCTGGAGACACCTGCTCCGTGCGGAGCGGATGGAAGTCCCCAGTCGCTAAGTCCCTACCTGGCGGTGCACCTGGAGCCCC